GCTTCTCCATTGCTGGTGGGAGTGCAAACTTGTACAGTCACTTTGGAAATCAGTATGGAAGTTTGTCTAGTAAATAGGAACCAGTCTACCTCAACATCCAGCAATTCCACTCTTAGGCATATTTCCAAAGGATATATATTCATATAACAAGGACTTCTGTTCAACTATATTCATAGCAGCATTATTTGTAATAGCCAGAATCTGGAAGCAACCTAGATGTCCCTCAAGCAAAGAATGAACATAGAAAATGTGGTACATTTACACAATGAAGTACTACTCAGTGGGAAAAAAAACAATGGAATCTTGAAATATGCAGGCAAAAGGATGGAAGCAGAAGCAGACACCCACAACTAAGCACTGAGCCAAACTCCTGGAATCCAGTTTCAGAGAGGTAGGAGTGAGATAGAGAAAATGTGGTACATTTACACAATGAAGTACTACTCAGTGGGAAAAAAAACAATGGAATCTTGAAATATGCAGGCAAAAGGATGGAAGCAGAAGCAGACACCCACAACTAAGCACTGAGCCAAACTCCTGGAATCCAGTTTCAGAGAGGTAGGAGTGAAGAGCAAAGGAGTCAAGACCACGCTGGGAAAACCCACAGAGACACCTGACCTGAGCAAGTGGGAGCTTATAGGCCCCAGTTTGACAGCTGGGGAAGCAACAACATAGGACCAAACCAGGACACCTGAATGTGGTGTCAGCTAGGAGCACTGTGCACTCTATGGGGCCTCTGGCAGCGGAACCAGGATGTAGCCCTAGTTCAGGAATGGACTTATGGAGCCCATTTCCTACAGAGTGATATTCTGTTAGCCTAGATACATAGGGGAGGGCCCAGGCCCTGCCCCAAATGACTTGACAGATTTTGATGATCCCTCATGGAAGGTCTCAGCCTCCCTGGGGAGTGGATGGGAGATGGGATGGGGGTCAGTGTGAGGCATGAGAGGATGGGAGGGAGAGGGAACTAGGATTGATGTGTAAAATAAGATTGTTTTTAATTTAAATAAAATTTATTTTAAAAAACCAACCTACTTTTTCTGGTGGTAAATCTACATTAATATGCAAAAACCTCACAAAGAGTTACAACAGCTTCGGTTTTGTGCTATCTGATCAGATTTAGACATAATATATATGGTTGGCAGTTATTTTATAATTGGGTTATATACATTATTAAAATCAAATAACATATAATTAACAAAATGGTGTAGAATAAAATTCAATATCATGTAAAAAAATACTAAAAATTTATTTTATCATCATTATTCTCCATGAGTCACTGTGGAAGTTGCTAATGAGGAATTAGACTCTGTATTGAGCTTATTCAGGTTATGGTATGCAGGCTATACAATTCCACAGTTCTACATACAGTGGTGTGAAATTATCACCAAAGATAAGTTCGGGCCACATATCTATGTCCATTTGAAGGTCATACTCTATATTCTTTTAGTTAGTAGGGAGCTGATATTTCACTCCTGGAGCTTAGGTAGCATCTATCTACCAGCATATTTAGTGATTATTTCTTGTTAATTTGCTGAGTAAACAGCTAATGCTATCTATATTAACAGTGTCATTAACACTGCTAAAGCTTGTGTGATAAATGCCATTTCCTAAATACTGCCTATAGTTTAAATCAGAGTAGCAAATGCACAATTAACCTGAACAGAGTAAAAGTGCCCACTCAGCATCTTAGAATGGATCTAGTTGAGTTATGACTCATCTAATTTTGCAAAGCCACCATAAAAATGAGCATTTCATTTTGCAGAAGTATAGCTGGGATTTACAGCAGATGATTAAGATAAGGAAGAAAAATAACTTTTGCATTTTATCAGAACAGAAGCATTTTATCCTGGCCATGATTTTTTCCCTCTGTAGATGTCATCCATCAGAGAAATGTCTCCACTAGTTGTCAAGAGCCCAGCTGTTCCCCATGGACCTCTGCACTTGTGACTTACCTTGTGAAAGTTTCTGAAATAAGCTGCCTTTTCATCTGGAAATTTTTCTAGCCTTCTGGGTCCCTTGCTGGAAGCCTTCTTAAAAACCAACCAGCATCGTCTGAAAATCTAAAACAAATAGAACAATCTGATTATCCACCTTTTCCTATGAGTTTACTGGCATTTTAGGTTTTAACTATTCAATTCATCCATTAGGAATGAGTTTGTAAATCTCCATTTACTTCATAGAGCAACTTGTTTAGAGGAGAAATGTGTGACTAATAGAAACAGCAGCACAATTTAAAAGCATAATGTGTCATGTAAAATTCACTGTTTAATCTGTTGGTTTTAATCATCTTTAATATAGGTAATCACTTGGTTGTCAATACTGCATGCATAATAGAAATTCTTTATTTCATATCAAACTGTGGTGAAAAGTTAGTCAGGTTAAGTGAAATAGATACCTACTGCTAGTTTTCTAACTTTGAATAAAAATTATATTTATAATGTTCTTACACAACTTCAGGATTTTCAACAAACTGTCATAACTTAGAGGATACTACAAAATACAGTTTTGTATTGGGCACATCTGCTCCCTTGTCTTACAATTTTATTGTCACTAGAATATACTAAATATTTATAATGTAAAATATATTTTAAATTTTAAGTAGACATTTAATCCTGATAACTGCTACATTTAAAACGGTACTGTTATGTTTTATGATAAGCTAAGAGGCAGGTCAAGGCCTGAATGCATGTCATTCTGAATCTTTGGTTTCAGCTTTTAGAATTACCATTAATTATCTAAGCTGAATTTATCACTTTTGGACCATGTTTTCATCTTATAAAAATAATTAATGTCACCCTTTTAGTTGATATCTTATTTTTACTGTATAATGTTCCATGGTCTCCCAGGTATGTTGAAAATGGAAGAAATAAAATACATTTGTTTTTCTTTCTAGTGATTGAATTTGCTTGGTAATTTCAAATGGCCACAACTTTTTGATTTCTAAATTTAGCATATTTTATTTCCTGATGAAAAATTCTCCACTAGCACAAGGAGAGATTTCATTAAAGGAAATTTCAGAAATCTTAGTTACTGTGTCTCTATTCTATATCATTATTCCAAATGAGCAGTTGTCACAATCCTTTTTTGGCTAGTAGAAGTCATGCAGTGTAATTCATTGAAATTATTCCCATGAACATTGTTTCTTACTCATTGAAAGATAGTAATTTCTATGTTAAAATGCACTCTCAGAGCAATCACAAATGATTTTTCCCACTAAAAGCAAAATAAGTAGAATAAAAATGTGAACACTTACTCCCACTGCCCCTGCTGTCTTTCTTAGATATTCTGCTATAGTTTTGAAAAATATATAAAGAATGTTGTTGAGCTCCAAGAACATAATAAATGTCTGCCCATCTCTGGGATTAGATATATCTTCTTTATCAAAGGGCTAATAGCTGTATACCTGTAAATAAGAACTGCTCAATTTCTTTAGAACAATTGGTGTGCTTTGATATACTGTGTTTAGCACATGGCACTTTAGTTCTTTGTAGTTCTTTGTTGGATCTATACCAATGACCACTTCCAAAATGAAAATTTGTCAATGATTCTAATATGGAATCAGTATATTATTTCTTCAGCTTCAATTAACAGATTTTAGTCATTTTTATCCTACCCATTTCTTTTTCTCATCTTGATCAGATACTTTTCTGAAATCACTCTTCCCAGAAAACCCCTATTTCATGTCTTTTATTACATGTCAGACTCATTAAGCTTCATTAATTTCTTTCCTCAGCAAGAGTGGGAAGTTATTTCCTGGAGGAAGGGCAAAGTATCAATGACTACAGCTGTAACACACAAAAAAAAAGTTTCTGTAACACAGAAACAGATATTGGGGTCCAATCTGAAGATCAGGGAAGCAAAGCAGCTAAGCTACTAGAGAGCAAGCTCTTACCTCTAAAAGGGCTGTGGCGTTCCTATTCTCAACTTGGCTGGAGAATGAGTGCCTAATACTGAGAGACCTTGCTCCTGTCTTGCATACCTTCCTAGTGCTGAGATTATGGGCATGTGATCCCAGGTTCTGGGATCAAAGACACAAGCTGTTTCTCTTTAGGACTGGGTCAATCTTGTGTAGATCTGGGTGCCCTTGGGCTCACAGAGATCTGTCTACCTCTTAATCCTGAGGCCTAGGATTAAAGGTGTGCACCACCATCTCCAATCTTCTGGCTCCTGGAATTAACTGTGTGTGCCTGGCTTCTACTGTTTGTGGCTGCCTTTGCTTTCTGAACCCTCAGGCAAGCTTTAATTAGCCATAAATAATACATCACCATATACATCAGTGAAAAAAATGGCACCCTCTCCCTCAGAAAACCATACACTGCCAGTCGCACCTCAGGGAGGGGTAGAACCTCATGAGTTCCTCCCCTAATCATGACAAATGTAGTTGTACAGTTTGGGTGGGGGGTTATTTGTTTGTTTGTTGGTTTTTTTGGCTCTTTAAGGGACCCACCACCCAGGTCCCAAGTAACTCACACATGGAGGCTTATTCTTAGTTATGAATGTTTCTAGTCAGCTTTTCTTGTCTTATATTATCCCATTTACCTTTTTCCTCTGGGCTTTTAACTTTCTCACTCCTGTATACCTTTCTTTCCTTCTTACTCCGTGGCTATCTAGATTGCTGAGTGTCTGGCCCCTGACATCCTCTCCTTGTTCTCTTGATCCTTTTATTTACACTCTGCCTGCCAGCCCCATCCATCCTTGCTCCTGCCTCACTATTGGCTGTTCAGCTCTTTATTAGAGCATCAGGTATAAAGCAAAGAATTACAGCTTCAGTGAGTTTAACAAACCCAGCATAAACAAAAGTCACACACCTTAAAATAACATTCTACCACAGTACAGATATGTTGAGAAATATAGATGTGCACACTTACATTTAGAAATGTATACTAAAAAATAAATGAAATTTATTCTTTTCTTAAAATTACTCTCTCTACTGCATAACATGAAGTAATTTTGTGCTCAAGAAATCATTTCATTTAAGCTTTAATCAAACTGTTGTATTAAAATTTAGAGCATTGTATGCTGGTGTCTAAGAACATAGAAAACATTTGGGTGAGGTTTTTTAAAATAATATTTAAATGTCTTGTCTGAACTGAATTATTTAAACTTATATTCAACTTTGTTTTTCATCCATATATTCATGTCCTGCTACTTCAGGAAGATGGGGGACAACCCTTTAGATTATAAGAGATGTCTTGAAGAAAAGAGCTAGAATGCTTTTGAAAAGTAACCTACCTTCCTATCAGAAATTGGTGGGATCTGGGTGTTGAGTTCTACCTCAAAAATTCATACTCTGAAACCAGTGTGCTGTTATTTGGAGATATCAAAGTATTAGATGGGGTCATGGAAGTTAGATTTGATGGAGGGATTCATGCTTTCATAAGAACAGACATGGCCAGCAGTATTCTTCCTCTCTGCTTATTCAAAAAGCAGAGAGCATGTGGGCACATAATGAGAAACCATAGTCTACCATCCAGGAAGAAATCCTCATCAGAGCCCAACCATATGAGAGGCTGGTCTCAAATATGCATCCTGCAGAACAGAGAAAAAATGGATTTCTGTGGTTCAAGCCACATAATGCCTGATATTTTATTATGGTAGTTTAGACTCATTAATACAGATGCCATAGATAGATAGATAGATAGATAGATAGATAGATAGATAGATAGATTTGATAGATAATATTTTATCTGTAACAATGATAGTGTACTAGTTGAAATAACAATATTGTGGAAGTAAAAATCATTCCCAGGAATCAGAGCAGAAATTGAATTCATGACAAGCAACAAACACTAATATTCTGTGCAAAGTGTGATGCATATAAATTATAAATACTTCTCCTGATTTTCATGATTGCATTGAGAATATTTCCTTGAAGGAAATTGAGAAACCAATCTTCAGTAAAGCTGTTTTTGTTCTTTCATTGAGAAATGGTTTCCCCTGTACTGTGCTGTTGGACATTTGATTGCTCACATCTTTGTAATCACAATAACAAATGAAACCTTAAAATATTCATAGAAATCCATATAAATGTAGGTATTTCAATGTTCATTTTGTGTTACTATAGTTAGTTTAATTTTAAAAAGTAAGCTAAATATGAACCAGAAAGTCTAAGTGTTATTGTTTAAGAATTCACTATTATTGCAAAACAAGTGATAACAAATAAGACGATAGATTTAGCTATTAAAATAATATCCTATCCTTCAGCTATTATAATATTAACAGATTCAAACAACCACATACAAATAAGCCTAATTTTTAAATGTTTCATGAAATAAACTGTTTGAGAAGTTGAAAGACTTTCCACTATTTTTTTAATGGATTTGGGTTTTAAACAAATTCCAAAATTGGTACATCAAGTTCCCATATATCTAACCCAGTTTCTAATATTACAACGCTAAAGAGACTTTGTATGGTTTTCAAAATGTAGACATTCACACTGGCAAAGTACCAAAATAATTGATAAAAATGTTGATTAAAAACAGGTTTTACTCAGAATTTAGGTTTATTTTTTCTTATCCTGTTCTATTTCAGTGACCAAGGCCACATTCTAAACCTCCAATCTGTGATAATTTCTTAGACTTTCTGGATTTTTGTTGTTGTTTGCTCATTATTTTTCCTTTTAAAAGTTTTGAAATATAGTTAGTAGTCAGTTGTTTTTCAAAGAATTCTTTAATTTCTGTTTGTCTTGTTATTTCTGATATCTTAAATTTTAAGGAAAATCAGAGCAATATTTTTAAAATATAACTTATTGGGAAAATAGTATGAATTTATCATGATCATGGGCTAGTTATTTTAATGTAATTTCTAATTGAGAATTTAAAGATGAAAAGAGAATCACTTAATAAATGTTGATTTCTTTTCTCTTTAGTCATAAATTTTCTAAATTCTTTGAATTTAAATAAAAGAAAATAATAGCTAAAACCATAATATGGAGACATTCCATGTGTCACTTGTGTTATTAATGGAAGTAAAGTCAAGTATGAGTCAGGGACTAAATGCCTCCTCCACAGCAGGAGTAGGAAGTGAATGGGGAGGAGATCTCTCCCCTTTGATCTTTTCC